CCTAGAAACGATAACAGAAGTGCACAGAAAAACCCTCTAGAGACACATCGTAGTTAACCCTTTCCGTTCGTGGGGCAAAGAACGTTCCTACGCTGAAAGGGGAGGGCGCTTATCGCCTTTCTTCAACAAAGATCTTCTATGCCTGGGCACACAATCGCGTAGAATCATCGTCTTATCTATGAGTTGGACCTCAGCTTTTGTTTTTATGAATTAGATATCTTTTTTAGGCAATGGATCCATATTGCAAGCCATCCCCCTCGTACACCTCACTCTCTGTCTCACCGACATTGTTGCCATCTCCGCCGAACAGTTCCGCTCAATCGCCACTCACTCCGGATGTAACTGACGAAGAACTACAGCGTATCAGTGTTCGACAATTGAATCAACGCCTGCAGGTAGGTTCCATTTCACTGTTTTGGCCGTGGAATCCTCCAGAGGCTCAAATCAGCTCGGACGTGTTAGAGCGTAGACAGGCAGGCTAGTGCACTCTGTCTCTCTGCCACTCTAAGTTGCTGCTAGAATTGCGGTGTTTTTCTGCTGTTTCAGTCAACGTTCTGTTTTCCTTCTGCTGACGCAGCGAGTTTTGACTTCCTTAACATTCTTGAAAGTGGCCAAGCAGAGCTTTGAACAGAGCCTACACTGACCGCATGGGGGAGGGGGTGGGGGAGGGGGGTATAATCAACTTGCGTTCCTAGATCGCGGCCCCCGTTTTTGTCGTTTTTGGAGAAGGGTTGCATTAGTGAGGAAGGCGCGACTGTGGGCCTGACTCTGCCCACACGCTCAACATGAATTCCATCTTCAAGCGTACAGTTTTAGTTTTCAACTATTCCTCCTCAATGGTGCGCTCCACATTTACCCATTTTAGTTAGAACGCAGTGAGAGCCGCACCAGTGAGAAAAGTTAGATGGGTTTACGCCCATATATCCAATTGTCCTGGGAACTTATATCGCTGCGACCTTCCTCAATCACCTTCTGACATTTAGTAGGAGGGGTTATTCATCCCACGAAAGAATGCTTTCCTGATAAACGCCCCGATCAAATGCTAGTTAAATACCTTAACTGTTCCAGAGGCAGTCCGTTCTAGTCATGTGGGCGGTCTCAGGCCTCTAGTGCCCCTTCCTCATTGGCGCACTTCTCTTCCTTAGAATTAAGCTGCATCAATAAGGAATACATAATTGTAGAGCCGACTCCCTCCATAGGATCAGCATGTATTGTGCCGTTAACGTCTCCTTTTGCAGGGCCATGACCGGCAACTGGTGACGATGATGAAGCAGAAACGACGAACGCTGAAGAACCGTGGCTACGCTCTGAACTGTCGTGTACGTCGAATCCAGAACCAGCTACAGTTAGAGGCCGATAATATCCAGCTCCGAGATCAAGTACGTTAGTTTAAACTACATCTAAGCAGCCATCGAAGTTGCTGAACATGTGAGAAGTAGCGTTTATAGTTCGCGATGCGAGCGATCGCTGTTCACGGCGTTGCGAACTATGAACACTGTTCCTGAAACGAGTTTTATTGTCCTAAAGGTCACCTAAGGCCACAACATTGCTACTCGAGACACTGAGAACTTCGGTTTTAGATTCGCGGCCTCCTTCAGACGCTTTCGGACATGCAAGCACGTCTACAGTACTACGAGCCGACGTTTATGCTCCACGACTACACGTACATGCCAGCGACAATGCCGATGACATACCAACCAAGTGCGAACTTTCTCAACTCCACCGCCACCACTGCCACCTCCATGCCCTCGGAGAACATCTGTTCGATTGCTCAACAACACGAGCAGAAGATGTTCCGTTGAATTGAGAACGCTAAAGCTGCGTTCATACTTTGCGTCAACGTCCGCCAGCGTTTCGAGCGTACACCAACGCCAGGAACCAAGAAAGTATGGGTATCGATCTAACGAACGTCAGCGTACAGCAGCGTTTTCGCGGGCAGTTTTGCTCTAATTCAAACGTTCCCGTGGAAACGCTGTTGTACGCTTTTGGTCGATGGCGGGCGCTGACGCAGAGTATGAACGCAGTTTAACAGGACAGTCCATGCTATGGAAGTAACACAAGGTTTGAGGTATTCGAGTTGAAATGAAGGCCTTTAATAAGCCCCTCTGCTGGATATTCTTGCCCCTCCGTAACTCACTGCCCATTTGTAGCAAAATCTTTGGGATCGTGACCAGGATCTGTTCTCGGCCAGACAGCTCCAAGCATCCACCCCCCCCCCCTTCTCCTCCAGTACACTATCCATGCAACTGCTCAATTTTTTTTGATTTTATTCATTGTCACTCCATAATCGTCCACATGTTACATGTTATGATCGATTGTTTCTTTATGCATTTTGTTGATGTATGCACATTTATTGATTGGTTTTATCGACTTCCAGTGCTGTTCACATTCCCTGTGCTAATATATCTCGGTGCCACATTCAACAAGCATTTTCTAGTCATTCCATTTGATCATATTTGATGATTGATTGACTGTCATAGTAATAATAATTTTTATTGTTACAAATTGTGATATCATAATTAGAATTAAAAATTCTCCTTGAAAATTATAGTGGTCATACTATACAGATGATTACGTTACACATAATATCTAAGATGGATTCTTCGGGTCCGCGTCAAGCCTGCGTTATCAGCGCTGTTAAACAGCGTTTATGGAATGCCTCGATGACTTCTTAAAGCTGATGCCTTCACATTCACTCGGGGCGCTGTCGGGAGGGGCGGGATGGGCTCGTCTCCGGTCCTTTGTCATTGTGATTGACTAGTGATCGATCCGCGAAAAAAATAACGATGTGATAAATAACGAGTGATGTGAACACGCGGCCAGATGGACTCAGTTTGAGTCTAATGAACAGCCCCGACTCATTACGACC